CTACATAGATGACAGTAATTACTGGAATGTTTGAAGTGTATATTTAATCATGTGTAGTTGAAGCATAGGCACCCCCTTGCCCATCTGCAGGTTTGCTTTCTACGGTTGAGTTACCCTGCAGCTAACTACTGTCCCAAATACTCAGTGAAAACTCCAGTTTCAAATAACTTTTATTTCTGGCATGTTGTTATAATTGTTCTGTTTTATAGTAGTACTAATTTCCTCATGTGCCTTATTTATAAGTAGAACTTTATCATTTGTTCATTTGGATGTATAGAAAAATGCCAAATGCATACAGGGCCAATTCTGTCTGTGGTGTTAGGCATCACTTTGAAGTATTCATTGGGTTTATGGGTTGCAAGGTCAAGGACAAGAGTATTTTAAGAGGCTAAGGAAACAGTGGGTCCAACAGAAGGGAAGGAAGCTCAGGTAACCGCCAGCCACACCAAGCGTGGTCGGGGGAATGTTTGGGTTGAGCAGGGTAGCTGCCCTCTGACACCTACCATTGCCACCGCCACCAGCAGGCTCAGCCAGCTGGTTACAGCATTTCTCCAGCTAGAGTCCAAAGCTCTGTGCGGTTCACCAGAAGGTAGGAATGCCGTAGGGACTGATGGCATCTGATTTCACTCCAGCAGTGCACTTTTGGAGTAGGTCTGATATTCTTGGGACTAATTTCCTGATACCACGCACACAACATGTAAAGATGTAAAATGTTTCCAAGTATTGTGTCAGAGTTTTTATCACGTTTCATAAACTACCATGTTCCCGTTGGCAATGCTGTGAAATAGCATGGTTTTGTTTATGTGTAACCATTTCTTTCCGGCTTCTGAAAGGTTCCTCTTCCACCTAGAAAATGTTCAAAATGGAGTTGAGACTGCTTTCATTTTTCACCTAGAAAATGTTCAAAATGGAGTTGAGACTGCTTTCATTTTTCCTTTTAAAAGAGATACCTAAGCCAGATGTTAGTGGCTCTCAACCTGTAATCCTGCCTGCTCAGGAAGCTGAGACCTGAGGATTGAAGTTGAAGATCAGCTTCAGCAAAGAAGTCCATGAGGCACTTATCTCCAGATTACTAGCAAAAAGCCAGAAATGGCTCTAAGTAGTAGAGTACTGGCTTTGAGCAAAAAAAAAAAAAAAAAAAACAAGCAAAAATAACAGGCCCTGTCCTGGGGGGCACAGGGGGTGTGGGGGAAGAAGAAGACAAGGAGAGAGACAGATATAACATTTCCCAAGTGATCCTCACAAGTGATCGCTATTATTATGAAGGTCTTTAAAGAAATTGAACAGGAGGGGCTGGGAAGGTGGCTCAGTGGTAGAGCGCTTGCCTTGCATGCATGAGGCTCTGGGTTCGATTCCTCAGCACCATATAAAAAAAAAAGCTGGAAGTGACACTGTGGCTCAAGTGGTAGAGCACTAGCCTTGAGCTGAAGAGCTGAGGGACAGCGCCCAGGCCCAGAGTTCAGGCCCCACGACCAGCCCCCCCCCCCAAAAAAAAGAAAAGAAATTGAGCAGGAGGATAAATCCCTTGTTTACATACCTAGTAATATACCTAGAGTTTGACTCCAGGCAGCCAGCTCCATAAGTCATAGCTCTTCCACAACTTCTTTGTACTCTAAGTCCATCAGATAAGATGCCATTAGCTCTTTTTTTCTTTTCTTCTTCCTTCCTTCCTTCCTTCCTTCCTTCCTTTCCTTTCCTTTCCTTTCCTTTTTCTTTTTCTTTTTTTGTGCTAGTCCTAAGGCTTGAACTTAGGGCCTGCGTACTATACCTGAGATTCTTTTTCTCAAGGCTAGCTCTCTACCACTTGAGTCACAGCACCACTTCTTGCTTTTTCTGAGTAGTTATTGGAGATAAGAGTCTCACAGACTTTCCTGCCCAGTCTGGCTTTGAACTGCAATTCTTAGATCTCAGCCTCCTGAATAGCTAGGATTACAGGTATAAGCCACCAGCGCCTGGCTTGCCATTAGCTTTTTATTAGAAATTTGAATTTAACCAATTTGATTTGATTTTAAATTATCACTAAAATATATGTATTGAGAATTGAATAGGCATGTAGTTTTTCTATTTATTGTTTTAATCCACATTATCTTATTTAACATCTCCATTATATTATACAGCTTGGCAAATACCTACTTATTAAGTAGGCAGAGTATGAGCATCCAACTATCTTAAATCTTTTTATGCATTTGAGATACCTGCTGTATTGCAGGGCTTGCAAAACCACTGACAGTCAGTGTAGGCTGAACAAGTTCAGATAAATGATATTCAGCTTTGATGGAGTCTGTATGTGTCATCAGTTGAGGGTGACTGCGTGTTTGCTCACGCCTTCCTTCTGTACACACTGTGTTAGGCACTAGGGCTGTCTCAGCAAAACTACTTGTGCCTGAGTACTGCAGTGTAGAGGAAAAAGGCAGATTTCCAGGGAGGAAATTGGAGGGACAGCTACAGTTTAGAGATGTAGCTTGAACACAAGGACCTTTCTGCTTTTGTTTGTCTTCATTTCTCTAAGTTGGAGATTGAATGAGAGTGGATGGGAGCTGGGCGCTGGTAGCTAATGTCTGTAATCGTAGCCACTCAGGAGGCTGAGATCTGAGGATCATGGTTCAAAGCCAGGCCAGGCAGGAATGTCCATGAGACACTTATCTCCAATTAACCACCAGAAAATGGGAAGTAGAGCTGTGGTTCAAAGTGGTAGAGCACCAGCCTTTAGCAAAAAAGCTCAGGGACAGCACCCAGACCCTGAGTTCAAGCCCACAACAGACCCCCCCCAAAAAAAGAAAAAGAAAAGAAATTGAATGGGCCATAGAGACCATCTTAGAGTGGCTTTGTAAAGTAGGGGTACTGAGCACTGCCGGAGGTTGAAAGATTTGGGGCTTATTAGTCTTTCTTTGGGTGTGCTGGTTCTAGGACTTGAACTCAGGCCTTGGGTGCTGTCCTGTAGACTCTTTCATTCAAGACTAATGCTTTACCTCTTGAATTATATCTCCACTTCCTGTTCTTTGATAGTTAATTGGAGATAAGAGTTCCATGAACTTTCAAGGCTGGCTGACTTCATATCATGATGCTCAGATTGCAGCCTCCTGAGTAGTTAGGATTACAGGGAAAAGCTTTGACAAGAGAAATCTAGGCCTAAAGGCCAGGTAAGATGCTTCTATTTGTAGATGGAACATCTTCATTAACATACTGTTGCAAAATTGTTTTCTTTGACATTTAAGGCCCTTTATATGTTTTTCAGTGAATTACTACAGTTAAAAAATACTGGAGGAGGGCTGGCAGAGTTGCTCAGATGGAGAGCTCTTGCTTTGCATAACAAACATGAGATCCTGGCTTCACCCCAATACCACCAAAAAGGGGAATACTAGGAGAAAAGAACACAATCTGGGGTGGCCTTAGGCTGATGTGGGGACAATGGGGAATCTTACAGGCTGGGTTTGAGTCTTGGCTCTACTGCTTCATGGTTCAGTGTGATTCATGTTTACTGTACCTCAGTTTCCTTATCTGTCCAAGGGGATGGCATTAGTTCCTTTCCCATAAAGTCAAATAAGTAACCATTTTCCTAATGTGATTAGAGTCTCATTGAATGCATGGCATGTACTGAGCACTGCACAGGCCACGTGTTCAGCAGGTGTTGGTGTAATTGTTAATAAAGATTCCTGTTGTGGCCAGTGTTTCCTGCTTCGTTTCCCTCATCCCTTCTGTTACATCTTAATGAAAGGACAGGTTCAATTTGGCCCTTACTTCCTGGGGTTTTCATCCATGCTTCTCAGCCTTGTTAGCAATAGCTTGGGATGTTGGGGTGTCACATAGGAATAAGTATACCAACTCGAAAAGAACTCAGCAAAGTTTATTTCAGCAGAAGGGTGCGTCACCTGCCATTCATGTGGCAAGCAAGCACACATAGTAGGCAGACTGTTCCCTTTATATACCTAAACCAGCAGGCCCTGCCCCTCTGCTCGCATTGGCTGAGCACAGGTTCACAATCTGCAAAAGGACGTGGCCTAATTAACAGAATGTAATTAAACTTCAAGGAGCATCTAACAGGATATATTAATTAAAGTGTGGCAGGAAAATAATGTATATAACTAAATAAGCAATGGCCAGGCCACATGGCCCAAAGCAGGAACTTTTCAGAAAACAATTCTAAAGATAAACA